GGTAAACAGTACGACATGGTTGAGAGTATAATGGCATGAAGATAGATATTTGAAACAGAAGATGTCTCCACATAATCCTTTATAAATCTGGGCCCTGAGCTGGGCCTGAGTTATAACCAGAGTGGTAGTAGCTGAGAGTCAACAAACAGATCAGATGAGCTCTTTCATTAAACTTTGATTGACAGGTGGCAGGTGAAAAACAATCTGTTCTTTTAGACACTAACGGGTCAGAAAATAGAAAAACCAACAGTCATGTTTTCAAACTGACATGTGTCTTTGTTTATGTGTTTGTTGACATGTTTGTTTTAGTTGACATGTTTGTGTTTGTTGACATGTTGTTTGTGTTTGTTATGTGTTTGTTGACATGTTTGTTTTTGTTGACATGTTATTTGTGTTTGTTGATGTGTTTGTTGACATGTTATTTGTGTTTGTTGATGTGTTTGTTGACATGTTATTTGTGTTTGTTATGTGTTTGTTGACATGTTTGTGTTTGTTGACATGTTTGTTGACGTTTGTGTTTGTTGACATGTTATTTGTGTTTGTTGACATGTTTGTTTGTGTGAGCCTGGCTCCTCGGACCTGCAGAGCTCAGGTAAGGTTCTGGTTCTGACCCACCTCGTCAGGTGAGATGATGAGTCTGAAGTTGAGCAGGTCGTCGTCATCAGGGAAGCTGATCTCACACGTCTTTGGCAAATTCAACTCATTGATGTCTGAAACACAACAACAACAACAATCAGCTGATCTGAGGGGCTACAGGTGTGCAGAATGGAGGCACTCAGGTGATGATGTCACAGCTGAATACCTGGACACAGAAACTCAGAACTGGTACGGCTGGTTTGAGCTCAGTGGGGTCTGTCAGTTGTCAGCTGACAACATGTACACAACCCTCTGTTGTCACGGTTATAATCATACAATTAAAGCAACAGGCACACAGGTGAGTGTGTACAGGTGTAACACAGGTGTGAGAGGCTCTGACCTCACCTGTCCAGGTGTCAGACTGAGGAACACTCAGTTCTCTGGGGGCCAGCCAGGTGGTGGTCACCTGGTGGGACAGGTGTGTCCGACAGGTGAGCAGGTAACCAGGCAGGATGAGCCCTCAGCTCCTGGAGCTCTGATCTGGTTACCTGCTCCTCACCTGAACTGTTCCACCATCAGGGAGCTGACACGGCAGGTTAGCTGCCTGAGAGCTCCATCCAGCCTAAGACCCACCTGGAGTCAGACCAGGTGAGGTCTGACCCGGGTCTGGTCTAACAGCCGTGTTTCTGATCAAACCACACATCTGTAGAAACATCTGGGGCCAGAAGCTTCACAGCAGTGGACCGTCTCAGCTTTGTTTTCAAACACAGAGCAGCTAGCCGCCGTTAGCTTCAGGCTAACGAGCTAGCAGTTAGCCTTCCCGAGTTCTAACCGCAGCCGGACCCGGTTCACGGCTCCCGGGCAAAGATCCGCCGTGTTGACGGTGAGGGGTCAGGCCGCCGGGCGGGGCAGTTGAGCCGGGGTTGTTGGGGTAAAACCAGCCTACCTTTCTGTATCCGGAGCTGGGCCGCGCTGGCTTTCTTTCCCCCGGCTCCGGCTCTGTTTCCTCCAGCAGATTCCTCGTCTTTCTTCTGCTGCTTCAGGGAGAACAGCTTAATCATCTTCACCTGTTCGATGATCTGATGCTTAAACTTCGTGTCCCCGTGGCGCGAGCGCTCCGTGCGTGTCCTGAATGCTGGGGGGGTCCAACGGGTCCGAACAGCACCGTAATGTGGACGGAGCCGGTGCGTCTCAACTAAWCACAGCGAGCTAACCTAGCTTGTTAGCCCGCAGGAGAGGCCGGGTGGGGAGGAGGAACATAGCGCTGACGCCGCATGGCTAACAGCTTGGTGCGTCACACATCCGCCATCTTGGAGAGGGAAACCAGTCGGACCTGCCTGGTTTTAACTCACCAACCTTTCCACTGTCCTGGTCATTTACATCTAAATGATCGTGCATCAGTCAGACTGGGTTCAAACTACTAAAAACTGCAGCTTCACATCGAAACCAGGATTAAGGGTGGGAGATCATATGGAGAAATAAGCWAATTGGGTTTTGATTAAAACGCTTGTAAAAATTACATTTTGTCGAAACATAATGAATAATTACATTATCAGTGTATCATTTGAATGAACTGCCTGAAATATGATCATAAAACAAAATTTTTGAAGCACTGTTTTGAGCAGTAGAAACAAAAAAAAATCGATTTTGAGGAAAAACACTTTAAAATTTTGAGGTTTTCCCTGTGAGTTAGTAAAGTTTTGTTTCTTTTTATCTGGTAAATCTCAATATTCAAATATAATTTGAGGTTTCCTCTTTATAAGGACATTAAAAATTCCTCATTAAAAGGGCATAAAATTAGGATTCAGACCAAATATTTATTCATTATTGTAAAAACAAGACAAATTAAGTCATATATATGGATTTACTTATGATATCAGAATGATCCAGGTGTCAAAATGTAGCTTTTAAAGACAAGAATCTGAAAATATAATGAGGTCATTTTGACCAAATTAAACTTAATCCTCATTTCGATATAAGGGGTTACATTTTGACATCTTACTGCTGCTGGGTAATTTACAGCCACCTAATAACAGCTTCAGATGATGACAAAAATGATGAAAAGAAACTTGAAGGTCTGAATAAAACCGAGTTAAACTATCTATCAATACTTTTCTGTCTCATTTTCAAACCCTTGTGAAATATAAAACTTTATTATTAAGAAATTATGTATCTGATTGTTCGTTTATTTTTAAAACTAACAAAAATCTTAATTACGATACTTTATAATAAATTGTTTATTTTATTTCATAATGCAATAAAGTGTATTATAGTAGTTATACAACACAACATTTATATTTCATTAGAATGTTTGCAGTATTAGYAATGATTTATTTAGTTTATTACAGTTTTGACACATTTTTTAATGATTTTTATTAGTTTTAGATGTTGGTTTATATTTAAAATATATACTTCTTGTATTTGTATCATTTTAATATATCTATAATTTAATAAAAGTATTTGTATAATTAATAGAATTTAATGGATGTTTTAAAGTATTTTGTTGAAACTACACTTTTTTTAAATTAAACTACACCTCCCAGCACCAGTTCCGTGTCCGTGACGTCATCACAAAGAGGCGGGGCGTGTGCWGCTCTCCTGCCCGTGTTTTATTCAGGATTTTATTTATTTATTTATCAGATTTTTTTTTTTTTCCGTCACGCTCCGGGGGTGAAGCGGCGCGCGGCACCTGCGGTCACCTGTGTGATGTAATGAATGCGGAGGTGAAAAACGTGCCACGGCAGAGTGACAACAGCAAAAACACAAAAACCCACGCACGACACGCAACTCGGGGCCACACAATAGACACGAGAACAAAAGCGACGAGCTGCGCTGCGCTCTATATTCATGTTAATGCGCGGGGACTAGTTCCCGCGGAGGGTTACACGTCAGCGTGGATTCCAGTGAGAGTGAGCCGTTCGTATGTTTGTGTATGTGTTGTTGCGTGTGTTTGTGTGCGTTTTGAAGCCTCGCGGGAGGAAGAGGAGAAGAACGTGCAGAGAGAGAGGCAGACTCGCACTGCAGACGGACCGACACAGAGAGGGGAGTGAATGGGCACGACTCATCCAGCGGACCTGCGCCCTTCACCTCATCCCGATCGATCGATCGGTTCGGTAACCGACACGCTCCGACCCCGCGCGGTCTGCGAGGCTGGCCCGAGCCGGGAGCCCGGTGGAGCGACGGGACGCAAATGAAGCAGCCCGGAGCGCAGAGCAGCAGCCCGGCGGAGGAACAAACAAGGAAGCGCTGAGCTGAAGCTAACGGCTAACTGGCGGCTGATATTGATTCTGATGATCGAACGAGGAGCATGCGAGCCGACAGGAAGAGGTGAGAGGCCGCCGCGTGAGGGTGTGTGTCCGGGGCCGGGTGTTGTCCTCCACACCTGCCCGCCTGCTGCTCATTAACACCGGGATACCGAAAGAGGAAGCGACCGCAGGGGGCGGACAAGCTGCTAGCATGCTAACATGTTAGCACGCCTGTCGCTGGCTTTCCCACCAGGTGTGGGGGCTACACGGGGCTGGATGTTGTGTCGTACAGGTGTGTGATTGCTTAATGAACACGGTAAAGCGCGTGCAGCAGCTGCAGGTGACTGAATGTGGGTTAGTGTGACAGCAGAGGCTGTTAGCCTGTAGCACAAGGCTAGCACAGGCGTTTAAAATGATCAGTGTTTGTGTTGTAATTCACCTGACTGCTGGTGATTCTCTACGAGTTTATAAAACCAGTCAGTTCTATGAAAAGAGCGTAAAACAGAAAATACACGTGTTGTCCCATCCTCCTGTTAGGTTTCAGTTCAGTCCAGATGTTTTACCTGGAAGCACCTGAGCTGCTTCCTGTTGATTGATTCATGAAGCTCTTCAGACCCATGGCCCCGGTACCACAATCTCCTGGTTTTTATTTCTTTTAACTTCTGTTAACTTCAGTACTTTAAGGTGAACCTGGACATGTTTGGTATCAATAGAAAGCTAAGAATCTTGGCTAAAAGCTCATGAAAACTATATTTACATTCACTAAACACAGTTCAAACGGTAAGCAGTTGAATCAGAAAGTAAACAAACTGTAAAAAATGGGATTGTTGCAAATCTGTAAATACGTTACAATAAATCTGTAAATACATTACGACAAATCTGTAAATACATTACGACAAATCTATAAATACATTACAACAAATCTGTAAATACGTTACAATAAATCTGTAAATACGTTACAATAAATCTGTAAATACATTACGATAAATCTGTAAATACGTTACAATAAATCTGTAAATACATTACGATAAATCTATAAATACGTTACAATAAATCTGTAAATATATTACGATAAATCTGTAAATACGTTACAATAAATCTGTAAATACATTACAACAAATCTATAAATACGTTACAATAAATCTGTAAATATATTACGATAAATCTGTAAATACGTTACAATAAATCTGTAAATACGTTACAATAAATCTGTAAATACGTTACAATAAATCTGTAAATACATTACAACA